CGATGCCGTGCCCGTTTACAAGACACAATTGTGTTAACCTTTATACTTTTGTGTGCGTGTATAATACATTTAAGTGCTCCCCTCGCTGTTGAACGCGAAAAGTCACTTCGCTACGTTAGTCCCCTCGACGACGATACCTACTTTACCGGTAAAGAGTACTCTCATCCCCACAAAATATTTAATGTTAAGCATTATCATTCAATTGTTTGCTTTCCGCGCACTCTTTGTAAAAGTTGATAATATTATGTTTTTGGTGAAAATGATGTTCAACTTTTTTAAAATTGGCATCTATTTTGTGTTTAGTTCTTGTGTGCTAGAATATAAGTAGTGAATATATTTTTATTATTTACCTGATTATTATTTTAACGAATAAAATCAAGGTAAATGATTTTTAACCCTTAAAGCAATATTGTGAATAATATAGAAGCCTAAAAATTGTTTAGATAAGTCCCTTTTATTGGGATTTATGTTACAGTTCGATACGAATGATTTTCTACGTACTTCAAATGTAATTGATGTATGCAAATAGTTTATGCTGCGTTAAATTTGTTGATATTATGTTTAACCGTAGTTAAAAGAATAGCACAATTTCTAATTTTACTAAATTTTGTGAACATAAAAAACCTTTCTTTTATAAACAAATTATGTATATGTATGTTTATATTATAACATATCATGTAAAAAAATAATATAATTTTTATGAAAATAATTGAATTCATTATATCTGACCAATATAATTTTATTAAGTTATTTTTCACTTATAAGTTCTACATTGTACATAATAACTAAATTATATAATTGTAATTAGAAGTAAAGTCAAGTTAAATAGACAAGACACAATGAATCACGAGTAAATTTTATTTTAAAATGTATTATATATATGCAAATATATTTTTGATACGATATTTGTATCTGATTTTAGCGTCCAGAAATAAATTGTTACGGTTTATACTATATAGTAGTACTGAGGAATTTATATCTTGTCTTATGCACGTTGTACATACTGCGCATATACCTTTCTCTTGTATATAAGTCTAATCCCATTTCTATTTACCGTCACTTTTTGTTGCTATTGTAGGTTATTTTTTTTTTAATTTAAAGTATAATGTAAAATACAAAATTAAGTAGTATCAGTATACTTATATGATATTCGGGTCCAATATTTGTTTAAATTATTGAAAATACCTTATAGTACATTATTTAATTAAGAACTAGTTTTATTTTACAAATAACTTGTATTAGATTCAAATTGAATCCATAAATATGTTATTAAACCTTTATAATAGGTTGTTTATCATTAAATTAATGATGTTATTTAATTCATATAACTGTTAATTAAAACTTCTTCAATTATACTCATTATTTTTTTTTTTTTTGTAAGGTATAAATGGGATTAAGAATTATAGTAAAATTCATTTTTGTTTTTGTATATATTTTTATTTCTACACTCTTATTTTATCCCTTTATTGTTTATTTTATATAATTAAGTTTCATTATTATTGTAATGATGATTAATCAATTTCAAATACTGTCAAAAATAGAACTTGCCTAGGTTTTAATTTTGTCATCTAACTAGAAAAAAAATATCAACATAGACAATGAAATTGCTCTAAATATATAGAGTGAATATAGTTGAATACATAATCATTAAGCTACAATTTTTCTTTAATCATATTGTTTTTAAATATTTGAGTCGGCAGGTTACTACGCTAGGTTACTAATGGTATAACCATAATTATTACGATTTAAATTAGTATTAATAACATTCCGCTGGAAAATAAAAATTGAGTTCATTTTACCACATTTACGTAATGAAAATATTACATGTATGTACTTCGAGCAAATTTTCTGTGATCGTGTGGGGATAGGTTGAGAGTCAGTTAATGAGGGAAAAAAAAAATCATTTGTTCTTTCAAACCAGAACACTATTCTGTATATCAATTTTAATTTATATACATATATTTTATTCAATATTGACGTCGGGTTTTAATTTGGGTCTACTTATCGCGTTGTTCAAACAATACATATAGCAACCTATAGATTTCACTAGGGCTGAGCGGCGCCACAAATTAAATAAAAAACTCGGCGCCGCGATGTTGAATCCGAATCAAAAAAATTAGCTGTCGCCAACAGTAATAGTAAACAGAATACATCGACCCAGCATATCTAGATAACCGTGATCCAGCCATATCTAACCATATATAAACACGTTTGCTCGGTATGTGATCCCTTTCCCGCCCTCTTATTAATCGATTTCGTTGATATTTATTTATTTATTTATTATAGTTTTAATGGAACTCTGACGTTTCACGTTCATACGACGTCTATAATGTTATTACACGGGTACAACACGGTCACCGTAGCTGCAGCATCAGTCGTATCCCATTCTTACAACTCTTCTGTCCGTCGTTGTCGGTGAATGAGTGGTGGTGATAGCGGTGGCGGAGGCGGCGGCTGAGCGTCAATATGCGTAATTGGACGGCGCACTGTGTAGGCAACAGTTACGGTGGTCGCCCGGCCGAGAGGGTGTCCCTTACCCCGATGGTGGGACAGCGGTGAGAGGGTGGTGAAGTTGGCGGTCAGGACGACGTCGCCGCCGGTGCGCGCAAGACGCTTGCGCCGTCGTCTCTCACGAGAGAACGCGCGACGGTATCGTATGTGTATTTGTGGACCGCATGACGCCACACGTGCTGCGCGTGTTTGTGTACACGCCGCGTTTTTACACGCGTCGTACACTCGACGAGTATACTGCTTTACACCCGCCGCCGTTTTCTACAACCTCGCGGTGCGCGCGTGTGCTCCGTCTTGACATCGAGACGGCGGCTAATCGATTATTTTCTCGATAGTTTTCGCGAACACGAATATCGGGCACATGGATAGAATTTTATTTCGTCTAAAAAAAAATTTCATTCTGACCACCCGAAATCAGAAATGTTTACGTTTTAGATGAAAATTATTATTTTTATTTCTTATGGCTTTTATAAATCTGGTGTGTTTTCGCTCAAGATTTATGGGCAAGCACGGAAAAATTTAGGAGGTTATAGACCCCATGGAACCCCCAATCCTGAATACGTGACTTACGTATTTCTGATGTTGACCCCATACAATAACAAAATATATATTGGGGATGAGATTAACGATGGATCGATTGTACAATTTAAATCGATTTATTATCGGGCGCGAGGTACAGCACAGGACTGTGGTGCTTCTAGTGGTACCGTGTGATGTATGTGCGGTCGCCGATGTATGGTATGTCAATGCAGACTCCAAAAATTAAATCGATTTCCGAGTCGTAGGAAAATTTTGCTTACAGAATTTCGTCCTGATTAGCCTATAGGAGACCGCGCACGCCGCCCGCCGTCACCACCGCCATGCATATAAAGACGGAAAGCTCCGCCACCTCCGTCGACGGGTATTGATTAACCCTCTGTACGGTGATACTGCGTGTGTGAATATTTATATATATTTGTACGTTGAAATGTTTAAATACGTACGGTGTGTGTGTGTCGTTCGTGATAATACTTGGATAATACTGGACGCACGTAAAAAAAAAAAACACTATTTTGTACCTTATAACTAGAAAACGGCCAATGTCGAGTAGTGTATCAATAGTTATGTATTATAAATTTGCACGTTTACAATGTGCATGACCTACTTTTTTTCAATAAAAAAAAAATAATAATTCACTGAAATTACCGGGTACTTACGGTGAGTTTCATTATGAATAATCGCAGAAATTTTCTGGTTAGCGCGCATAAAAATTCCCGCCAAAGTTCCGGTGTTTATTATTATTTTATTTTTCATTTCGCTCCAATTACGCGATATCATAATGTTTTTATTTTGACAAAGATACAGAATTTTCTTTCCAATTCCAGAGAATCGTGTTTAATTATTTTCTTACGCAACAGTCTATTACAATATTCTATTATTTCATCCGATGACAAATTGTTTTATTTAATAAAAATCATTTTAATAAAGTTTTAGAAAATGTTGGCGTTTTTTTGTAACAGTCCTGCTATACTGTTTGATATAAGTGACATTGATTCATTGATAATCTCATACACGTATATTTATTTGATTCATTTCGTCGATACGTAGTACGTAGCTCAATACCAGTTATTTTCAAACCCGCTAAAGTACACTCGTCATAGGGATTTTCCCACTTTTGCAATTATAGTGGTCAAATATATAAGAGAAGAGTAAACACAAGAAATTGACTTCCTGGAATAAAAAAAAAAAATTGTATGCAAGCTGTCACCATTGCGGTGCCTCTGCCACTGTATTATAGGTCGATGACCGTTTAACAGCTCTGGTGTTGCCTGTACGCTATTAGTATAATAATAAGACAATCATTCTCCGATCGATGTTTGACCAGTAATTTAATGATGTCTATCCTAGTTGTTGGTAACGAATATAAAACGAGCGATAAAAAAAAAAAAAAAATTGAACACCTTAATATTTATATTTTAAGTGTCCTAAAATGTGAGTCAAATATTATATAGATATAGAATAACTGTTATTCCATGAAATATAATAGTGTCCATTAGCCCCACCAGTGTTTCGACATTCGACTGGAACACTATGTTTTAACGATTGTGCAAAATAGTAGGTGTATAGTGACATAAAGTAGGCCAACATTCTTTAGTTTTGCATAACTACATCTAGTCATTAATTAAATCTCGTTTTTCATCCACAATAAATCAATCTCGAAGACCAAAACGTTTACAAATTAATTATGGGCTTTAGGTTTTATATGAATATCTAATGACTACACGTAGAGAATGTCTTTTTCACTCCCCCGACGATGATGTTCATGTACGGAGAAAGTAGTATCGGACTCTGTAATATGTTCTTTGTGTCACGTTCCGGAACTCTTAAACAAAAAAGAAAACTTCCGAACTTTTATCGGCGCACGTGCGCATACGTATTCTTTCCATTTTAGAATATAATAGAGTTATTGTGAGTCCAACGTATAAATATAATGGTTTTTTTTTCTACAGAAATTCGGCACGAAAAGACCGTCAAGCGAAGACATGGACGGATCGGACGGTGTTTACCACGACGGTATGCCGGCGCCTCCCAAATGTGTACCCATACCGCCATGCGGTAACGGTAACGGTGGCCCTCAGCAGCAACAACAATCGCCTCATTCCAAAAACGACGCTAGCAACAACGCTAAGTTCAGCGTGAAGATCGTCCAGGAACTCGAGTTTAGCACTAGTGAACACCAGCACAACGCACAGATCTCCACCAATCTTACGCTGACGTCGGTCAACACGTCCGTGCAGAGCGACGTGACCACAAAACAGTCAGCTGGTGGCGGCCCCGGCACCGGTGGTGGCACTGTGCCCACCGCTTCCGGTGGCGGGGTGCCAACCGGAACTGCTGCGGGGGCGCCAGGTGCTCCGGTCGACCACCCGATGCACGAGTGCAAACAGGAACAACCAGACCTGATGGACTTCCCCGGTGACGGTGATCTCAATGATCTGTCGTTCATCAACAACGACACCAACGAACCAATGTTGGCCGTCGACACGGATACACTGACCGAGATAATATCCGATCTGAACAGTGAGGGCATCACGCCTGCCGACTTCAACCAGGTGGACTTGTGCGATAAACGACCCATCAAAACGGAACCAGAGTCCAGGTGCACGCCGCCGGTCAAGTCTCCGTACGACCAACATCAGCAGCAGCAGCAACAACACCAGCAACACCAACAGCAGCCACCACAACACCCGCAGCAACAGCAAAGAGGTGGTGGAGGTGGCGGTGGCGGTGGCAACAACTATTCGAATTGTGTGGCTGCTGAAACGCTAAAACAGTTAGCCGAACAGCATAACAACCAACAGCAAAGGCCTGACAAATGCGGTTACGATTTTCCTTACCAGTCACCTGGTTCCGTGCCCGATTTTATCCATTCGCCCAGCACTCCCGTGGGCACTCCAAACCCCAACGGATATAACATGATGTCTCCCGTCAACTCCATGTACCACCAGCAACAGCAGCAGCAGCAAGAAAAGCAACAGCAGGAGAATAATAATTATTACCATCCTCAGGAACCTCCCAAATCTAGGATGAAGCAACAACAGCAGCCGCAACAACCGCCGCAGCAACAGCAGCAGCAGCAACCGACTGTGGCGGCGCAGCGACAACAGAAACAACAGTTGCCGCCACCCACGCCACAGCAGCAGCAGCAACAGCAGCAACAGCCCCAACAACCACTGCGGTCTCCTCAGTCCCGGTACAACCAGTACAACGGGCACGGGAGTCCTCAGTATCCTGTTTCTGCGGCCCGGAGGATAACCCCGTCACCAGGAGCCGCTTCCGCCGGTGTCCTGTCGCCGCAGCAGCCCAACGCCGCCAGTCCGGAAGTGGTCACCTCATTCCAGATGACCCAATCCCAACAAGTTCACGTTAGCCAACAGGGCCAACAGGTAACTATGTTATGCCTTGCTTAATATATAACTCATGTTTTCACGGTATCCGACACTTTTCTCTTCGTCTCGTCAGTGTTGTCTACCTCAGTACACAATCGAGAACTGAATTCGACTTTTTTTTTTCCGAGAGCGATACACCGCACAACTCCTAGGACTAAAATCATCGTCGCCGAGTAATAATACAATATTTCAACTTGTAGTACTCTTGTATATTACGGTGTCCTTCCGACATAGCTGTTGGAATCGAATTCCTCGTGCTGTTATTTTCGTGTGTTTTTTGTCCGAGTAAAATAAAAATACGAGTGGCGTCGGTGGTCCATTATTATCGCGTACGCGTGTGTGTTTAATATTGTTTTGTTACGTTTTTCGTCATGTGGTTGCTGCGTTATCCACTCGAAAGTCGTCGTATATCGATGTAATATCGCGGAGATTCAAGTGGGCGAAGTCTTAGCGTCCACCCATCCGCCAACCGTTCGTGTTCCTCTCATTATGATGCCTCCTCTTCTCGCTTTCAAATTCTGCTGACTGAATACAATATTATTCCGTTTCCGAAGACGTGCAGCGGTGCACACTTGCACGTACAAACATATTATCTTTGGGTGCGCATTAACTGTTATATTCAACGTACGATGGATACGTCATGCGTGTACACAGTGTCGTTGCTGTGTTTTTTTCTCTTCTACACATTTTTACTTCCTGTGTTTTGACTTTCTCTTCTCGAATGAAGTAACAGTAGTGTTATCCAACTATCATTATATATATATATAATGTACATATAAGATATAGGATAGGTAAATAGTTCATGATTTGACCGTGCTGACGTGCAATCGCCGACACTCCCCCGCACACACACAGCCACGTTACGACTTAGGTTCTAGAACGGAGGTATTTGGCCTCATAATAATAGTATATTTTATTTTATCCCTTACTCCTATCCTCTTCACCGCTTTTCCACGACGTCGCCCGTTCGATTAGGATTATTATTTTTTTTTTTGGTTGTTGGCTTAATTATTCCGGCCTAAATAGTCCGGGTCTGGTAAAAAATAAATAATTGAATAGTACTGAAAACCCGCCGCGCCACCTCTCTTCTGGTCACCACCAACAGCAGCAGCAGCAGCAGCAGCCACCACGTGTACGTTTAATAAAACCTATCGAAAACCCCGTGTAACACACGCAGTACTTCTGTGAATTACAAAACCGGCGCGGGGACCATCTCGTGTGCGCGTAATGGTTTTTTAATTAAATCCAAGTGTCATCCGAAAAACGGTGCGCCGCGTGCGTTGGCAACAGTGTAATATTCGTAACGTGCGCGCACGTATACACCGCCACGCTCTGTTGTGTACACCCGAGCACCACCTCCACCGTGTTGTGTCGCCGATGGCTTATTATGCAAGACAATGTCGACTTCCTGCATTTATATATCATAATAACACTACCGACGCCGCCGCTACCGTTTACCATTGTGGGTATTACGTTTAGGAAAAAAAATTATACAACCGATTAAAATACGAAAAATAAATTAATATAAAACCGTCGTCGTCCGCTGCTGACACATAAATTAACCGGCCGCGTTCAAGGATATTAATTATCCACCGGAATATTGAAACGCATATCGCGATATTTATTGTTTTTATTCCGTTTTCTTTCTCTTCTTGGCAACAAAGTAACGGTGGTGTGCAGTTCATTAAATAATACATTTCAGATTCGCTTCCTTGAATCGGTTCTAAAGCTCGCACGTTTGTGAACGACTTACGATATTGTTACGTACAAACGAAAATAATTTAAAGATTATTTGTTTGAGCTCGCTTTCCATTCCTACCCGGCCTTATTATACACCATCGATGTTGTTATTTTTTATTGTTAATCTTTAATATACACTACACTCATATTTGATGTGATTAATATCTTGAATGTCGCTCATCATTACGAATATTGCTGTTGGACTGTCGCGTAATCGTCGATAATAGTGCACTGGTGTTATTATAATATATTGTATTTTCTTATTAGCAAGGCGCGTCCGGTTTTAACGTAACACCTATCATATTATTATTATTATTATTATTATTATTATTGTTGTTGTTAATGCTGGGTAATAATAAATAATAATTAGTGAAACCGCATTATATACGCGCTTGGTGCAATTTAGAGCGTTATTTATTATTATAATTTTTCTTCCTTCTATGTTTGATAAAGCATAAATTGTTAATCGTATACAATTTATGCTTTATCAAACATAGAAGGAAGAAAAATTATAATAATAAATTAATAACGCTCTAAATTGCGCGAATGCGAGAACTAATAATACGAGTAAAGCCCGATTTCACACTCGCACGACACGACACGATACAACAGACGAAAATTACGTCCAATTCACGTATGACCGACAAGAAACGACAGAAACGTACTCGGTTGATTCAAATTTTCATTTCCAACGGTCGGAAATGGTTTATATTCAACATGTTTAACAATTTTAAATTCGAGGATTAGCCGTGATGGTATTATTACATATTATATGTATAGATAATATATTTATCGTCCAATATAAAGACTGTATCTTTGTATTATGTCTATAATAATTAGGCTTGTTGTATCAGTGCAAACAATATCGTTTACAAATTTAATTTATATATATGAGTACGTAATAATATGTATATTTTAAATAGACTGATTCTGATAGACACCAACAGACCGACAAAACATTATTTGCTTGAAACGGAGATTGTGGTGTGCATTACTGTATTTAATTGATAAAATATTTTGTCTCGTGAGTATGAATCGGGCTTAAAACGATTATATCCTCGCCTCTTTCAATTATCGGTCGATTGATAAAATTTTAATTAAGTATACAAAAATATACTTTGATATTGTTTTATAAAATATGGAGATATTATAAAATTTATATCAATAACAAATGACATAATGCCATATTTTTAATGAAATTTGATTTTTACATATTTTTATGCTGCTGAATGCCTAAATGCATATTTAAGTTTACTTATTTTACAAAATTAGTTTTGAAAATTGGCAAACAGTTTAGAGAATTAGGACGGTTTGATGATTTTTCTTGTCGATTATTTCATTAGTTAGAAAATGTTAGATAACTAATATGTCGATAAATGTTGGTTTTATTTACTTGTTAACTGTTGTTATAGTTTATGAAATGTATAATAGTTGCTGGTTAACATGTTAAGACAATTTGTAAAGTATGTTAAAAATTAGTTTTCAAACTTCCCTGTGTCGCTATCTGTGTTTTATTGCATTTATCTGCCATATAAGATAATACCATGATATATAATTTCTGTGTTATTTCTTATAAATTTTATCTAACTTTTCTAAACATTAAATTCTATGTTATTATAGGCATTTGGTCAAGGACAGGCTATCCAAGAACGACTTATGAGCAGTGCTTCAGTCGCCTCGTCAGCAGCATCAAACTGCGGAGGACCTATGCAGCAATACTATAATTCAAATTGTGGAGATAATGGACAGCAATCCTATATGCATATGACTCAATCACAGAGTATGACATTTTCCCAACAGCGAGCCCGACTGCTCAGCGCAGGAGCTAGTCCTACCAATATTCGACCTCCAACTAATGTGCAACAGTCTAATTTGAATAATGAACATCACATGTTACCTCAACACATGAACAGGGCTCCGGTAAATATATTTATTATTACAACTTGTATTCATGTGTTTAAAATACTTATTATTAATATTGTGAATATTTGTTTAAAAATGTAGAACCAAATGAACATGATGGGTCCTGGTGCATGTCGACCACCTCCTCCTGAATACAAGCTTAATGTTGCCCAAAATATGGGTATGTGCCAAACTCAGTTTGCTGCACAAGGATATATGCCACCTGCTCGGCAGTCCTTACCACAGGGTGCTCAATCTAGACGACCTATTCAACAGCAACCTATTCCACCTTCTGGTAAGAAATTTTTATTTTTTATTATGAATAAGAATGTGAATTAATGATTAACATTTTATGTTATTATATTATTATATATAATGTATAATATATTGTTATTATATTATTATTTATGTTATTATATTTTATTTTATGTTATTAGGACCTATGCTGCGGTCTCAAATGGCAAATACTGGTGGTGGTGGTGGTGGTAGTGGTCAAATGGCTGGCAGCTATGATCGTAATATGTCATCAGTTCAAAGGAACATGATGTACCCTGGTTCTGGAAATTTACAACGACCACCAAATGTTACACCCAGTTCAGAAGCATTTAACAGTGATTGGCAATTATTAGCAGCTAGACAACAACAGCAGCAACAACAGCAGCAACAGCAGCAGCAGCAGCATCAGCAACAGCAACACCAACACCAACAACAGCAACACCAACAACATCAACAGCAACAATCTCATCAGCACCAACAACCACAACAGCAGTCCCATCAATTTAGACCCACATTATCTCAGGCTTCAAGTAATTATTTAAAATATATTATTATTTTTTAATTATATTATTAATGTGATGTATTTTTATATTTGATGTACTTTATTTGTAGTGGTCAATATGAATCAATCGAGTAACACTCCAGTTAATAATATTAATGCTGCTTATGGAAATGGAAATCCAAGTATGAACTCATGTCAAACAGGACCGAACAATATTCATCTAATGGCTGGACAAATGCAACATATGTCTGCCAGAATGGGTAATGGACAGCAGACCATGGCACAGCAACAACATGCTAATATAACTATGCAGTCTCAAAATAATCAGGTAATTTAAATTAATTTATTGAGGGAGTGATATTATTTTATAAATTATTTGTATTCTATTAAGATTGTGTATCTCCTTATTGAATAGTTTTCATAAATTTTTCAAGAATTATAAAATTAATTAATTTTTACATTTTAATCAACATTTAAAATGTGTTAATGAATTTTTAGTTTTGGTTATTAAACGCTTACGATAACATTTTTTTTAAAAAAATGGCAAAAATAGTTGGTATTTTCAGATTTACCTTACAACTATAATTGTATATTCTATCAAAAGTACAAAATGTTGAGTTATTTTTAGTATTAATAGTAGTATTTGATCATTCTTGTTAAATTATATTATTATTAGTGTATATATTTAATAATTTTCATATTGAATAACTATATTCTAAAATTATTTAATATTATATGCTTTTACTGGTATTCATTTTCATATGTATCCAAACATTTATTTATGATATTTATTTATTTATGAACTTATAAAATCAAGAAATTTTATCTGTTTAAAATAATAAATATTAATGTATTTTATATTAATAGTCAAAATATTTATTGTTTTATGATTTATTTTATAATTATTATATTAATTTTTGTATGTGTACTTACTTTTTCTTATGTACATATTTTATTTATATTTTCAATGCCATATATCTAATTGAAACTATTTTTGTAGATGTCTGTGAATCTTCAGATGTCTCAAGCAATGAATGTAAAAATGGCTGGAGGTGGCCCTAGTCGTATGGCTAGTAATACACAAATGGTTCCTCAACAACAACAACAACATCCTCAACATCACCATCAACAACAACAGCCTCCACCTCAACAGCACCCGTCCATGATGCGAGCACAGCAACAACAATCATTCGCTCAACAGCAGACTACAATGAGCACAGCAAACCCTTATCAACGTAATATGGCACCTAGTTATGGAACAAATCCTCATCAGCAGCAGTACCAGCAGACTAACACAGCAATGCAATCTGCACCTGTTGCAAATCCAACAACTATGCTAAACACTAATAATGGGCTGCCACCTCGTAACACCTTTAGCCCAAGTGATTTTAATTTTGACTTCCTTGATCAGCCACTCGCTAATGACAGTAAAAATGGTTTTAACAATAAACAACAGACGTTTGGTGATTTTAATTTTGATTTCCTGGATGCCCATTGAATGTTATTTCATAGTACTGCATTAGACATTAACATCTAACACTAGATTGATATTTAATGCCTGTGATATTAGCTATGAACTTGATCACATAGGTTTTAAGTTGTTTTATGACCAGTGTAGTTAAATTCACTTATAATGTTTTAAAAATGAAATTTAATATAAAAGTTGAATTGTTGAACAATCTTTAAATAATTTTTAAATAGTTTTCAATAATTTAATCTATATTTTTGAATTATTGTTGACCATTAAATAAAATATGGTCTTAGTGTCTAATGTCAGCTACAGTGGTCATATGTTACAACTAACTTTTAGTCTACAGATTCGAATGACATAATATGATATGTATTTTATAACTATTTAGAAAGGTAAATGTCATATGACATTTTGTTCCTACTTCTCTTTTTCTTTCTCACTCTTAATTACTTTTTCTACTATATTGTTATCAATTGTCACTCCAAAACATAGTGTTAAAAGATATCAATTGATAGATGTCAATAGTTAATTGTTGTGTATATTTTTTTTTTTTTACCATTTTTAACTGTATAACTGCAATATGTGTTTGGAAAGAGGTAAAAAGCAACTAAATTTAATTTCAAGCTGCTTACACATTAAACTGGTTTTTAAGCAACCAAAAATATTAACCCAAGTTACCAATGGTGGTGTCAACAAATATGGGATTATGTAAAACAATTTTGAAAAGACGAAATACCCTATGGGGGTAACAACCTCGTTTGATCTCAACTAGTTATTCTTGCATATGTTTCCAAAGCGAGTGGCTCCCTAATGATTTTCTTCTTTTATTTTTATTGTTGCCATAACTGCGATTATTTGTACATTTTTGTTATAAGAAACCACCATCAGCAATGGTTTTCTAACAATTACGTATTTAATAAAATTTTTTTTTTTTTTTTTTGAATAAACGCCCAAATAATTAAATACTTTATTGTAAATCATTATATGCTTTTGAACAAATAATAATAATCATTATTATATTAATATATAAATAAATATATACAATTTATATATATATATATATATATATATATATATTAGAATTGTTTTAAATTATGACCTGTTTGGTATATAATATTATTATTATTACTATTATTATTATTATTATTATTATTATTATTATTATTATTATTATTAT